AGGGAGCCCGATGCGGGACTCGATCCCAGGACCCTGGGATCATGACCTGAGCCGAAGGCAGTCGCTTAACCAACTGAGCCACCCAGGCGCCCGAGATATATATATTTTTTAAGGTTGAATATTTCAACCATTTTGTGGGGTGCCTGGGTGACTCAGTCGGTTAAGCGTCTGACTCTCTTGATTTCTGCTCAGGTCATGATCTTAGGGTCCTGGGATGGAGCCTCGTATTGGGGGGGGGTCCATGCTCAGTGGGGAGTCTGCTTGTCCCTCCCCCCACTCGTGCTGGCACGCTTGCATGCTCTCTCTCTCAAATAAATAAAATTTTTAAAAAAGAAAGTTTCAGTTTTGCAAGATGAGAAATTCTAGAGATCTACTGCACAGCAATATGCATATAGTTCACACTACTGTACTGTATATTTAAAAATGGTTTAAAATACTAAAAATAAAAATATTTTTAAAGGGTCTGGAGCTCTGAGAGAAGGCTAGGAGTTATAAGAGAAAGGCAAATGAGAAAAGCTTGTTTACCTCAGCCTCGGGATCTAGCACGATGCTGTCCTGTTATGGATCACCTACAGCTTTCCCCTCCTCATCACCACCACTATCTACATTCTCCTGGGTATTCCCATGGGCACCTCACTGCTGGAAGGGACTCAAAAAAGAGTAAAAAGAAAGACTGCTAGAAGCTTACAATCTTGTGGTAAAGGCAGGACTCATATGAAAAGGCAAACAAGAATACAAAGTAATGCATGGCTCAAAGGGGGGGAAAAGTTGCTATGGGGAAGCAAAGGGAAACTAAAAAATGAGAGCTTGTTATAGGCATTGTGCCAAATACTTTTACATATCTTATTTAAGCCTCCCAGTAGCACCGTGAAGTAGATACCAGGGCAGCTCAGAGATCTTTAGGTATGCCTCTAGGATTGGAAATTGGGAGAGGGCTGGTGCTGCAGAAACCAGCACCCCCAGAAAGTGCCCTTCCCAATCAGTCATGCACAGTGAACTGGAATTACAGTTTCTTCCAAATCTTCCAACCTCGTCTGACAAAGTATCCTTCCTTCACATGTACAGTCTGCATAGGAGTCAATTTTCTCCTAGGTTGGATACAATGTAAAAGACCCAGTAAGAGTCAAGACAAGAACGCAGCTCAAAGGATTACCGTTTCTAGCACATTCTCCTCCAAGTCTCACCCTTTCCCTAAGTCTGGGTCTAATCCACTTGAAATCACCCTGTAACTCTCTGAAACCAAAACAGTTCAGCAGAAGACCCCCCATTTGTATTCACTACTCTCCACAACTTAGCTCCTCTACTAAACCCCGGCAGCTTTTTCACACTGAAGACTGACTTCTTTGGTTCAAGTCCAGTCGCAGAAGGCTTTGGGACTCTCGAGGCCGAAGGAAGCCCCGTGAACGCTCCCCAAACCGGAGCCAGGGGAAGACTATCCTGCGGCTGGAAACTTAAACCAGGGAGGCAGGGGTAGTGACCCAGCAAGAGCCCCACAAGCCCGCTCGGCACTTCGCTCGCATCCTTCTCCACCAAGGCTGCTGGGCTCCGGGACTTCCTAGGGACTCGCGAGCCCGGGACAGAGAGGTGCCCCACATGCGAGTCGCAAGCAGCAAGAGCTGGCTCAGTCTCCCCCGTATGCATCCACCTCATCCCACCCTCCAACGCCTTCCATCCCAGGAACGGCTCACAGACTAACGCGGCCGTCCCGGGCTGGGGAGACTCAAGAAAAGCGCGGGGGATTGGGGTGCGGGCGGGGGGCAGCGCTGGGTGCGGGGAGTCTCCCTAAGGATTACCTGGCAAAGCGGTCGTCCTCCCGCGCCGTTGACCGCGGCGGGCACAGCGTCCGGCGCGACTCTCGCCGGAGTGGGCGGGCTCGGCGGGCTCGGCGCCACATCCGGGCAGCTCCCGGGTCCCACCCCCGTCGTCAGACGCAGTCTCGGCTGGGTGCCCCGACACCTCCTGGGAAGTGGAGTCCAACGCCAGCCCCACGGTCTGCGAGTCACGGGCTTCTAGACTGACTGCCCCTTGGGGTAATCGAGGATTACTTCGATCCGGCCCCCAGGTGCGGACCCCAAGACAAACTACTCGGTTCAGAGGTTCCCCAAGGCCCCTCTTTCCCTTGGCACAGTGAGGCCGCCCCCTCCTCCCCAGACCCCGATTTCCTCCTCAAGACCGACGTTGACATAAGGAGGCAGGCAGGAAACTGAAGTACTAGGAAAAATGGAGGCGGTAAAAGATGAGAAAGTGAGCGAATTAGAGTTACTTTCGATCACCATAGTAATTTGCATTTTCCAGACTTTTCCGTAAGTGGAATCATACAGTATGCACTCCTTTTTTAGCGGCTTTACTGATATATAAATTCACTCATTTAAATTGTACAATTCAGGGGTGCCTGGCTGGCTCAGTCAGTAGAGCCTGTGACTCCTAATCTCGGGGTTGTAAGTTCCAGCCCTACCTTGGGTGTAGAGATTGCTTAAAAATAAAAATAATAATCTTTAAAAATTTTTGTACGATTCAGTGTGTTTTTTGTATGTTACATCATTAATGTTTTAAATCGTGGCAACTACGCATAACAAAATTTGCCCTTTTAAGCATTTTCAAGTGTACGATTCCGTGGCATTAAGTACATTCACAATGTTGTGCAAAACCATCACCATTGATATTTCCAAAACTTTTTTGTCATCCCAAGCAGAAACTCTGTACCCATTAAGCAATAACTCCTCATTCCCCTCTGCCTCCAGCCCCTGGAAACCAACTTTCTGTCTCCATGAATTTGACTTTTCTAGCTACCATTCATTTACTGATGGACGTTTTGTTTTTTTCCAACGTTTGGCTATTGTGAATAATGGTGCTATGAACACTGGCATAGAAGAATCTGGTTTTGTTGACTTTCTCTATTGTTTTCTATTTCACTGATTTCCACTTTGATCTTCATTATTTTTGTTCCTTTACTTTGAGTTTTATTTGCTCTTCTTTTTCCTGAAGTGAAAGCTGAAGTCATTGTTTTGAGACATTTCTTCTGTTCTAATATAGGTTTTTAGTGCATAAAAACTACTTGCTAAGGGGCACCTGGGTGGCTCACTGCGCTAAGCAACCGGCTCTTGATTTTGGCTCAGGTCATGATCTCAGGGTTGTGAGATCAAGTCCTGCATCAGGCTCTGCGCTGAGCGTGGAGGAGCCTGCTTAAGATTCTCTCTCTCCCCCTCTCCTTCTGCCCTTCCCTCCAGCTCTTGCATGCACTCTCTCTCTCCCTCTCTCTCTCTTTCTCTTTCTCTCTCAAAATAAATAAAATATATTTTTTAAAAAATTACCCCCTTAGGGCCGCCTGGGTGGCTCAATCGGGTAAGCGTCTGTCTTCGGCTCAGGTCATGACCCCAGGGTCCTGGGATCCAGCCCCACATCAGGCTCCCTGTTCAGCGGGGAGTCTGCTTCTCCCTCTGCCTGCCGCTCCCCCTACTTGTGCTCTGTCTCTCTCTCTCTCTCTGACAAATAAATAAATAAAATCTTTAAAAATTACCCCCTAAATACTGCATTAGCAGAATGCCATAAATTATATGTGTGGTTTCATCCTTATCCAGTTCAAAATATTTTCTAATTTCTCTTTTGATTTCTTATTTGACCCATGGGATATCTAGAAGTGGATTGTTCCATTTTCAAATATTTGAGGATTTTCCAGAGATCTTTTGGTTGTTGGTGTGTAATTTAATTCCATTGTTTTTAAAGAATATATTTTGTATGACTTGACCCTTTTGAATTCATTGAGATTTTTTTTGTGGCCTAGAATATGGTCTATCCTGGTAAATACTCAACGTGCACTTGAAAAGAATATGTATTTTGTTGTTATTGGGTGGAGTGTTCTAAAAATGTCAACTGGGTCAATTTGGTTGATAGTGGTGTTCACTTCTTCTGTATCCTCACTAACTTTATGCTTACTCGTTCTATTAATTACTGAGAGAAGGGTAATGAAATCTCTGACTAGAACTGTGGATTTGTCTAGTTTTCCTTGCAGTTTGTCAGTTTTTGATTCATGTATTTTGAAGCTCTTATATTAGGCACACACATATTTAGAATTGTTATGTCTTCTTCATTTATTGACCCCTTTATCATTATGAAATTACCTTCTTTATTCCTGGTATCTTTGTTCTGAAATCTACTTTGTCCCATATTTATATAGCCCCTCCACCTTTCTTTTAACCGGTGTTATCATATGGCACCTCTTTGTTTACATACTTTTACTTTTAACCTATCTGTGTCTTTGTATTTAAAGAGCATTTCTTGTTGGCAGCAAATGGTTAGGTCTTGCTTTTTTTTTTTTTTTTTTACCCAACCTGATCATCTCGACCCTGTAATTGGGGTGTTTGGACCATCTACACTTAACGTTAATTGTTAATATAGTTTAAGTTTGAGTCTGTCATTTTGCTATTTGTTTTCCATTTGCCCCATCTCTTCTTTGCTCTCTTTTCCCTCTTTTTCTACATTCTTTTGGATTAATCAATATTATTTTAATTCCATTTTTATCTCCTTATTGGCTTATTAGCTTTACATCTCTGTTTTGTTATTCGAGTGGTTGCTTATAGGTTTATTATGTACAGCCATAACTTATCAGTCTACCTTCAAGTGTTCTTATACCACTTCATGAAGAGTTATATGTTGTTATGTACTTACATTAATGTACTTCCATTTCTCTCTTCCTGGACTTTACACTGTTGTTATGCATTTTACTTTTACCCCACAATACATTGTTATTATTTTTGTTTAAACATTTAAATTTTTTAAAAGATTTATTTACTTTAGAGAAAGAGAGAGAGAGAGCACGTGCACGAGTGGGGGTAGGGGCAGAGGGAGAGAATCTTCAAGTAGACTCCCCACTGAGCATGGAGCCTGGTGCAGGGCTCAATCCCATGATCCAGGAAATCATGACCTGAGCCGAAACCAAGAGTCAGATGCTCAACCGACTGAACCACCCAAGGGCCCCATAAACAGTTAATTTTTTTTAAAGGTTTTATGTATTTATTTGACGGGGGGGGACATAAGCAGGGGGAGCAGGAGAGGGAGAGGGAGAAGCAGGCTCCCCACTGAACAGGGAGCCCGACGCGGGACTTGATCCCAGGCCCCTGGGATCATGACTTGAGCCGAAGGCGGATGCTTAACTGAATGAGCCACCCAAGTGCCACAACAGTTAATTTTTAATAGACTTTATTTTATTTTAATTTCTTTTAAGTAAGCTCTACCCCCAGCATGGGACTCGTACTCACAACTCCAAGATCAAGAGTCACATGCTGTACCAACTGAGCCAGCCAGGCACCCCAACAGACTTTATTTTTTAGAGCAGTTTTAGGTACAGCAAAATTGAGCAGGAATTACAGAGAATTTCCACATATCTCCTACCCCACACAGGCAGAGCCTATCCCGCTATCTCAACAACCCACACCACCAGAGTAGCACATTTGTTACAACAGATGAACCTACATTGACACATTGTTACAATCCAAAGTCTGTGGTTTACGTTAGAGTTCACTCTTGGTGTTTTATATCCTATGAGTTTTGACAAATATACAATAACATATATCCACTATTACTATAGCATACAGAATAGTTTCACTGTCTAAAAACCGTCTGTGGTCTGCCTATTCATTCCCCTCTCCCCACAATCCCTGGCAACCACGGATCTTTTACTGTCTCCATAGTTTTGCCTTTTCCAGAATGTCATATAGTTGGAATCATACAATATGTAGAATTTTCAGATTGGCTCTTTCACTTTAGTAATGTGCATTTGAGGTTCTCCCATGTCTTTTTATGGCTTGATGGCTCATTTCTTTTTAGTGAATAATATTCTATTGTCTGGATGTACCACAGTTTATTTATACATTCACCTTCTGAAGGACATCTTGGTTGCTTCCAAGATTCAGCAATTATGAATAAAGCACTATAAACGTCTAAGTGCAGGTTTTTGTGTGGTCGTGAGTTTTCAGTTCATTTGGGGAAATATGAATGTGATTGCTGGCCCAAATGGGTAATTATCTTTTTAAAACAGCTTTATTGGGGTAAAAATTTACACATCATAAATTCACCCATTTTAAATGCACAACTAAATGATTTTTAGTATATTGACAATGTTGGGGCACCTGGGTGGCTCAGTTGGTTAAGCATCTGCCTTTGGCTTAGGTCATGATCCCAGGGTTCTGGGATCGAGTCCCACATCAGGATCCCTGCTCAGTGGAGAGTCTGCTTCTCCCTCTCCTTCTACCTCTACCCCCTGCTCATGCTCTCTCTCTTTCTCTAAGATAAATAAATAAATCTTTAAAAAAATCCCTTGTCAGACATATGACTTGTGATATTTTCTTCCTCTCTGTGGCTTGTGTATAATTTTCTGAAATAGCAGAAGTTGTTAATTTTGATATGTTCAAGTTTTTCTTTTATGCTTAGTGCTTTTTTTGGTCTTCTCCTGTGTAAGAGATCATTGCTTATATTTTTATGTATTCTATAGCTCTTGTTGCCAATATTTATATCTCTTATTTTGATTTCTCATTTCACTGCATTGATTGGGACTTCTAACATAATGCTGAATGGTAGCTACTTTACCTATGAAAGTCTGTGATTAGGTTTTAGGGAATAACAGTGAGACTGGAGAGAAGCTAGAGACACTACAAAGGAAAATCAATAGAACTTGGTAACTGAATAAGGGGGATGAAAGAGAATTACAGTTTAGATATAACTTGGATGTTAAGATTAGAACAGGGAGAATGAAGTTGCCATTATCAGAAATGAACCAATGGGGGGCACCTGGGTGGCTCAGTCGTTAAGCGTCTGCCTTCAGCTCAGGTCATGATCCCAGGGTCCTGGGATCGAGTCCCGCGTCGGGCTCCCTGCTCTGCGGG